TGCCATTTTATCCAAATTCTATTTTTAATAGAAACTATAAGAATATACAATGTTTCATTTGCAAAAGACAAATTAGCTATACTAGCTAATCTGTCTCTTGCAAATGAAACATTGCAAATATTAGCTATACTAGTTAACGGGAAAAGAGAGTTACTAAGCATTTCTTATATTGTTGTATGCTAAAGGAAAGCAAATCAAAGCAGTAATAATTTAATAAATTTTTTCCATCATTTTACAGTGTATTTGCTTCATTAATACTGCTTCTAACACTTAAAAGCACCAAGAATTTATAACAAGAATGTATATAAGCTTAAGTAGCCATTACTTTTTCTTGCTTGTAGACATGTTTTGGAAAAATAAATTACTCATATCAACAAGATAAACCTTTGGTATGTCTTGTCTTGATTAATCTAATTCAAATTATAGTTCTATGTTCTTTTTTAAAAAACCTTAAATTAATGTGGAATGATTTTGAAAAAAATTTAAAAAAAGAATATTCAAAATTTAAAAAAGAGAATAAAAAAATCTTAAGTATAACCATGGCCTACTATATTATACGGCCGTATATGTTACATTTTAGAGGCCGATTCTAAGAGGCCTATTTATTAAAAAGATGGCTGCGCAACTACAGAGAAAAAAACTCATCCTCCAGACTAAATGTAATTTCGAGTACAAAGAAAAGTGTATTCATCAGCGATAATTAATCATAGAGATTTGTGTATTTATAAACATATATATCTATATATATTATACATGTATTTGTATCTAATATATATTTTTATATTTGTACATTATACATTTAAATTGACAACACGATTTTTACAAAGAAATTTACAAAGAAAACCAAGGTTTAAATTTATGTTCTTTTATTGTTTTATCTATCTTTATGCTAATATATATATATATATATATATATATATATATATATATTTATATATATATATATATATATATATATATATATATATATATATATATATAAAGATATATATATATATATATATATATATATATATATATATATATATGTATATATATACCTATATACACATATATATATATATATATATATATATATATATATATATATACATATATATATATATATATATATATATATATATATATATATATATATGTATATATATATACCTATATACACACATATATATATATATATATATATATATATATATATATATATATATATATATATATATATATATATATATATATATATATATATATATATATATATATATATATATATATATAGATAGATATATATAGATATATATAGATATATAGGGTTATTTTTCTCTCTGTCTACTTTTAAAACTTTTAACAGCATCTTTTCGTACAGTAGCATTGATTAAGTTCTGCTTATTGTTAAAAAAAACATTAATTATGATTTTAGAAGCAAAATTAAAACCCCATTTTTTGTGTATATCACAGGTAAAACAAACTGTTGGAAAGTATTTTGATAAAACAAAGCTTGATACGTCTTTGACATTAGCACCTTGTTTAGTTATTAAATCTGAAAGGTTATCTAACACTGCAAAACATCCACATGTAAAATCTTTAAGTGAAAGTGATGGTACTGTAAGACCACCTCTGGAAAGTATTTGTAGATATGAACAAATAATTATATTGCTTGTATCTGTAGCTAGCAAAGGTTTGCAATAATTACATTTGCTTCTTTTGATTAATTTTTTAGCAATGTAACCTGCTATTGTTGTTGCAACTTCTTCTGTTTCAGGTGAGAGAGTTGATTCAGATATCTCGTTTGAGTTTAAATCTAATATTGCCAGTAATTCATTATTAATTAGGTTATTGTGGTTGTTTTTTAGATCTTCATCCCAAAAATTTATATTCTCCTTAATTAAAGACCGACATGCTAAAATAATTTCAGAATGTTGAACTTCTAGTAAGCTAACTAGAAATCTTCCACCACTCATCTGTCGATATTGCAAAAATCTACGCTCTATTGGGTCACTTTGAAGCCGTGAAGTAAGTACATATAAATATCCTTCTTCAATAAGGTCATCTATAAGCATTGCTTGAGAACGCAGAGTTGTGATGAGAGCCGATGATGTTTGTTGTGATAAGGTAAAATATGGAGATTTCTGCCAAAGTTCAATCCAATTAGCTAATTGTCGAAAAAAAGTTGTTTTACCATCATTAAGAATAATCGCATTACCAAGTTTATTTGGGTTAAATCGCTCTTTAGAATTTGAAATAGCCCACCATTTGTGAAAAATTGTAAGAAAACCAGAAATGTCTTTACGTTCTGGAAAATAACTCTTGAAACCTGCAATTGTTGTTTCATCAAAAATTGATAGTGCAAGAGAAACGTTTTGCTTTTTGTTACCAGGGTGAAGATTCTGATATGAAATTTTTGGAGCTTTTCGTAAATTGCCTTGAAGTTTCTCATCTTTAGAATGTAGATGATGAAAATCTCCCCAAGTAATATAACCAGCTGGACAATTATTAGAATCATCTTTTATATTAAATGTAAAAGATGGAAAGACAAATTTTTTACAGTGTAATAAATTATTTCTGATATTTTTAACAAGATGAACACTATCATAAAATAAGTATATTTTAGACTATCAGGATGATTAATAGAGAAATTTGATTGATTACCAAATTTGGAACGAAGCAAACTAAATGCACTTACATTCGATTTATGATTATCGGTAACAACACCTCGAATTTTAAAACCAGATAGCGAAAGAGAACTAATAGAATCGGATATTTGATCT